CCCCCCCCCCGGTGCCGTATGTACCTCGGTCTAGCATACAGGTTATGGCAGGCTTCCAGCTGCTACCCATAATAGACTAATTGTCTAATTGTCGATACGACTAGATAGGCCGCATGAAATGCAGCGCTCTACCCTGCGGTCGTTTCGACAAATTTGACAACGGCCACCTTTTCGCGGAACGGGGGAGAATCCTCGCTGCTTTCTCATCTCCCGACTACAAGAGAAACATCTTCTCTTGAGGTTTGCGCTCTGTGTTCACTTAAACGGAAGGAAGGAGCTGCGGTTAAAACGGGATGGAGGCAGGAGATATAGGTTCGTGAGCCTCTACAGGCTGTGGGTTTTGCCCCACCGCACACGAAGGGAGGGTCAAGACAGATCCGTCCTTCATACCAGCCAGCTTGGTCATGCCGTCAGAGCGAACGGGTGAAACGCAACATGATATCATAATGTTGTATAGGACTTCCTCTGGCTAAGAGTACGTGTTGCATACAGAGTACTTGAAGGACTGTTTACTGGTGTCGTTTGAGGCAATCACACACACGGCCAACCGGTTGTTCCTCCCTAGAGTATGAAAATACGGGGGGTTTACCAGGCTCCGACCTTTCAAAGGTGATAGCTCAACTGGCCGTGATTTTTAGATCGGTTTTCGACATGGTTCAATTGTGACGGCGACTCGAGGAGCGACGTGAAGAGGACGCCTAGGATAAAAGACCGTCACGAACAAAAAAACACGCGAGCCCTGACATGACATGCTCCTCCTTCCTATTCTCGGCAGTTCGTGAACAAGCCGCGCACCTGCTCGTTTCCTCTCAGCCTTATCACCAGCGCCGCGGCCGCCCCCGCCGCCGCCGGTCCCTCCTCCGCCTTGCCCAGCCACCCCGTTACATCCCACGCCGACCTTTCGGGGGCCGGCTCGACCGACTCCACCTCGGCCAGGAGGTGGCGACGGGCGGTACCCCTCCTCGACTTCCTATCCGCGGGGCCCCCTTCTGCTATGCCACCACCTCTCGAGACCCCCGCCTCCTCCTCTTCGTCGTCCAACTCTTCCAGCGTAGACAGATCTCGCGTTACTCGGAGGTGCACAGGTCGCCGCCGCGGCGCCCGTGCTGCCACCAGAAGCAGGCCGAAGGCCTGCTGCTGCCTCGTCCGGACCAGCGTGGCGCCTCCCAGCAGCAGCGGGACGTGGTGCTCTACGAAGTGATTCTGTTGCCATGGGGAAATCAATGTGTCGTGGGGAGGAGGTCTGCACCGAAGGGATTGGACGGCACAAACATCGACGGCAAAAGCACCATAATCCACACCACCAACGACAACGAATCACGCTTCCAACACAAGTGCCACCAGCAGCGTATCCGCGAAAAATGCCACCGCCGAGGGGGCATGACACGACTCCAAGGCCTACAACTGCCGCGGCCAACAGAAGCAACTGCAATGACAATCAGCACCAGTCTGAGGAGCGCGGGGGGGGAAGGGTGTGCTCATGTAAACGCATGACGTCGTCCAATGGTCTCGCACCCCTACAATGCCGGGACGGAGCTACATGCCGGGTTTTCGCCGGCCCAGGCTACCCTTTTTTGCTGTGCCAGAACCGATATGCCGGGGTCGCGACCTCTTCCAACGCAGAAGACCCCCCCCTGCAACGCGACGCCGGACAAGCCAGCGACAGAGACTGTCGCGGAGGCACCAAAACTAAAGGCAGCAAAAGGGCGTACTTACCTCTGCCGCAGCTTCTCGGGCGCAACCGTCGCACAGGCGGACTGCCTTCGGCTGCCCGAACAGGAGAAGCCTGTCGCTCTGGCTGGAACAACGCTGGCTAGTAGATGTCGGGAAAAAAAAAAAAGAACAAGAATGGGCACGGGAACGTTGAAGGAAGAGGAGTATGTCACGTACTACGCAAGAGGCGCAAAACAAACGTAGAGCTGGGGGGGGGAGAGTTCTGTATCCAACGGCTTGGTGCCTTGAGGCGTGTCTGTGCTTTCTTGCTTAGCATCGACCGCGGTAGTCTGCGGACAAACGAGATCACGTCAGTCTCAGCGCCGTCGTAAGCAGAAATGCCTCCAAATGCCGTGTGTGTGTGTGTGTTTGACTTGGTATCGACCGCGCTACCCGGCTGACAAGGAAAATAGATCAGCCTTACAGCGAAACGCAAACATGCTTTCTCGTCGAAGGGTTTTTACAGACAGCGGGGGCTGATTACAAGGAGCAGCATCAATACCAGGCAGCATCGTTGCTGCATCATCTCGTCCTCTCATCCTTGCGTTGTCGCCCTTTACTGAGCTAGTATCCGCCCGACTTGGCTTTCCGCTATCGTATGTGAATTGCTACTGCTTGATTCATCACGGTCATCCCTGCAACTCTTCGTTGAGCCCTCTCTTCCCATGGATGCTCATAAGATATATTTACGTCGTGGAGAAGTCGAGTTTTGACAATCGATGACATGCGGTGTCGCCTTCGGTACAGGAGGCGCCCCCATGTACAATCCTTGGCCGGAGGTTCATCTCTTAGTATCTACGGAGTGCTCTAAAATAAGAATGTGTGGGAACAACATGTACGACACAAGATAACACATCCCCTGGACCGAAAGAGTCACGGCGACGAAAATGGCGGCGTTGCAACCGCCTCGTCGAGAGCTTTCCAAAAATGTATCGTTTCGTTTATGCATCCTCTTCGTCGTGGAGTAATCGAGCTTTGAAAATTGGTCCAGGGGGTGTGTTATCTTGTGTCCTACGGTAGGTACAAGTAACGGGTTGTGTACCAGTACATCATTCTGAACTGAGCACCTGATCGCCCTGTCAAAATCCGCAAGTTTCGATTTTTTAAGCCTCAAGTTCTTAATTCCCAGGTTCGATCTACAATAGTGGTGGGTCTGGGTTCCGTCTCCCACACCATCCGGTCGCTCGAGGGTTCTCTGCCGCGCAAGCTGAAAATCATCAGTCACCCGAAAAAAAAAAGAAGCGCCGTTGAAATGGATCCATTGCCAATCTATCTTAGACTCTTTTCTGTAGATAGCGATGGATTCGTTGGGGCACACTGAAAAAATAAAAAAAGAAGTTCAGATCGCGTCCAGCGCACGCTCCGCAGCAACATCCGCAAAGAGAGAGGTGGTAACGTTCCGAGCGCGCGCGTTGGTCCAGTTGGAGCACCGATGGTGCCGTCAGATGCGAAAACTGCACACCTGACGGCCACAATCGGTGAATCGGACAATACCAACACGTGTGCCCGATACGTGAAGTGCAAAGAAGCGATACAGCCTTGTTGTGGCCTCCGGCCATGCCGCGAAGCGTGCCCAGGCTCTGACCCAGCGCCCCCGCCCCTGATGGTGCTCAGCTCTGCGGGGATGTGGGGCGACTCCGAACCTAGGGATCGGGGCTTGTGAGTGTACTTCTGTGGACGCAACAGCTATCTTCACCCATAGGCCATGAGGGCTGCCCGCGACAGGACGGTGGACACAGACAGGATCATAGAAGGGTTGATCCGTGGTCGCGGTGCGGCCAGTAGCGCAGCTAAGGCTTGTATACCTCGAAAAGATCAGTCGTCAAGCCGCCTGAACTAGTCTATTTTCAGTACATTCAAATGATCAGTGAAACTGATCAGTGAGAGGGCTTGTAGACCCATAGCTGATTCTTGTACTTCTGTACTTCTCTGTCCCCTCCCCAATGTGAGCCCTGCCGGCTCACTACAGCTCCTGTGATTTTCCCACAATTCCCACAAGCACGCAAGCACACACCAGCACACACCTACCTTTGCATCAGTGGCTCTCTAGGTTCGGGCGAGGGTTTGTGTGGGGGTATGCTGGTGTATGTGTTACTACCTACTCTGCTGAAGCGTTGGCCTCGTCTATACGGCTTCTGCTGTGTAGAATAGCCGCTGACATGATGACTGTACTGGATCTTGGGAGTGTACGTTTTTCGAATTTGGAGGATGTGCAGCATACCACGATATCCTGGCCTGTTTGGGCTTGAAGTGCCCCTTTTCGCTGTCCTCCTGTCTTTGCTTTAGTGGCTTCCTAGATTCGAGCGAGGGCGTGTATGTGGAGCTATTGATTTGTGTCTCCTTGAAAGGATATGGGGAGAGCTTCGTGGTCGTATTCGCATTTAGAGCAGTGGGCATTTTTCTATTTTTGGCCGTTCCAGGGACCTTGATATCTCCCGCTGGCACTAACGTCTTTTCATTGGCTACCGGGTAGCGCGGTCGATGCGAATAAGAAAGACACACCTACCGATTGACTTGCCAACACCTGGCGTGGAGGGATACAGGGCGGAAAATTCCATGGCATGCCACGACACCATCATTTGCAAGTGATCAATCAATGATCTGTCAGGACGCCTGTAGACCCAAAAGGGTTGAATACGCTTTGGCACACGCCCGTGCCATCCGACCTTGCCAAGAGCAATGGTTGATACAAACAAGTTTTTTTTTTCTACATACTTGGAAGGACAACGGGGAATGAGGTTTCGGACAGAAACATGTACGTCCTTCCATAAACCAATCCATAAATTCTTGTCTCCCGGTTTGGACCCTGTAACCTAACCCTGACCCGAATACAATTGGTGGGTAGAGGTCAGTGCACCGTGCATAGGCGCTAGGTTGGCGTGCACTGGATTGTGCCAGAGGTGGGGATACAGCGGGGGGAAAAACGCGAATCCACCCATGCTGGTTGAAGTTCGAACTCCGTTTGCACCCGTTTCGAAGGTTTCGAGCGGGCACGAAACGGATACATACAGACTTGAAGTCATGGTTCTCAAAAGGCGTCCTAAATAGGCACATCACCTGAGCAAGAACGATGCAACAAAGCATTGCTCACATACGCGGTGCCACAATAGATGGTGCAAAGCTCGCATGCACATGCCCCCATGCATGCACACACACAACCGACAAGCGGCGCAACTTTCTCTTCAAAGGCGGGGGTAAGTGCACGACCACATGCGGTGGGGGTACAGCAGTATCCCTTCTCCCAGGGATCCTTATTACCCTCCCCAGCCGGAATCCATGTAAGTAAAGTCGAGCTGGCTCTTCTCTCTCTAGGTCTCTCCCTGGGCCTCTCAGGCTCTCACCAGTAGATGTTGCAACAACGACGGCAGTGATGCCGTCTGACGAGCACATCGAACGCCACCGAGCAACCGTAACACTCCTGCTGTTCAGCGTCCTCCGCGACTCTCGGCTGCCGTTGATGGACGAAGCTTCCCGACACACCAGCACCCGAAGCAGCCATAGCCGTTGTGGCGTTGTTGGTTGAATCACCAGCAGCGGCGGGTGGTGTGCTGATGCTGGTGTGTGCGAGGTCGTAGCAGGGCTCATGATCATGTGGCCTTGGCCTGCAAAAGGCGAGCGCATTCCCTAGCGCTTGCCCCATGATGATGGCAACAGCTTGTCTAACAAATAACACCGCCGCTTTCTGTGGGGATCTACGACTGCAGGCAAAGGTCCTGCGGAACACGATTCAATCGTCTGGCTGCGTGTGGCACACGCACCTGCCGACTGCTGTGTTCTCGCGGGTCCGTCTAAGAAGCGAGCCCCAGGGTGGGGGGGGGCTGGGTGCAATGATGCACATGGAAATGATAGGAGGCGTGCCTGGGCGGTGCAACCTATACCGGTTGGTGGGCTTCATCGTGACACAATGCGCCAGCAGCACAGCGTTCGCGCCTTGCCGTCTGCTGCTTGCTTTGAACAGAGTCGGCTTCCAGCAAACATAGATGCACGTGTGGGAATATCGCAACCGGCGGCACAGGGGGCTTACGCGGAAGCCCCCACGGCCACAGGCTCATGCTTCCGCCTTTCTGTCGCGCGAGAGCCAGCAGCACGAGGCAGAGTGAGTCACCATGTGGTACCACCGCACACTGGTGGAGGAGGATTGTATGTGGGTACAAGCGCTACGCGGCTGGCCCTGCGGTCCGCCGCTTCGCATAAGGCTGAATGCGATGTCAAGGGTTTGATGATATATTTAGGAAATCATAGGGCTCCTGTGTTGGTGAGGAATATTTTGCAATTGAGAGCATGGCTCATCATGAAGCAGACTTCCGTGGCACTCGAGCAATCTTCCCGGTGGGTTGGACAAAATGCCACAATTGTGCCCGATAGAGGCAGAGATGCTAGGCTGTCGGCGAGAAAAGGTTGGGATACGAATATAAAAATTGCTTGATGGGACTCGAAATCGAAACCGAAAGTTTTCTCCACTGAAAGCGATGACTTCGCAGGCAGTGCGCTCCAGCAATCTTTCCGGTGGAAGGGACACGAAATCGAAAGCGAAATCTCTCCCCTGAAAGCAATGACTTCGTTGGCAGTGCGCACTCCTCCAGCAATCTTCCCGGGGTGGAAGAGACACAGAATCGAAATCGAAATTTTGATCCCTGAAAGCAATGCGCACTTCACCAGCAATCTTCCCGGCGTGGAAGGGACACGAAATCGAAAGCGAAATCTCTCCCCTGAAAGCAATGACTTCGTTGGCAGTGCGCACTCCTCCAGCAATCTTCCCGGGGTGGAAGAGACACAGAATCGAAATCGAAATTTTGATCCCTGAAAGCAGTGACTTCGTTGGCAGTGCACTCCACCAGCAATCTTCCTCATGAAATCGAATCGGAAATTTTCTCCTCTGAAGCAGGAAGGGAAATGCAATAAGTGCATGGTTATGAACACGCGCAATCTCCGCAGTGGATGGAACTCGAAATCGGAACTTTTCCTCCCCTGAAAAGAATTGAGAGCATGATGGGTAGTTTTGCAGCAGACTTCCTTGGCATTGCAACCCAGCAATCCTCCTGGTGGATGAGACATGGATCCGAAACAGAAAATAGTTTTCCTGAAGGAGGAAGCGAAAGGCTATTGGCAACAGCGGTGTTGTCCGCTAGAGGCAGGGACGCCAGGCCTGCCAGGTAGAAAATGCAATCGTAACTGAACATGTCCTCCCCCGAAAGTAGTCGAGAGCATGGTCACTTGCTCCCGGTGGATGTTACACGGAAGCGAAAAGGAAAGAAAAGTAGTCTACGTGGCGATCTTCCTTCCTTGTGGATGGACACGAAACGGTAAATCGAAAAGCGGGAAACGGGATGCAATTGGGAGGGAGGCTAGTCCTGCAGCAGAGTAGATCTGGTTGGTAGAAGCGGCTGAGGATTGGCGCGCATGCCAATCGAAACCGAAAGAAATCGAGTCTACTTGGCAGGTCTAGTGCACTCTAGCAGCCTTCCTTGGAACGGAAACCGAAAAGGAGGAAACGAAATGCAATTGGGAAGGAGGCGGGTCCTGCGTTTCAGCGTTAGAGAGGCTAGACCTGAGTAGTAGAAGACGCTGGGGATTGGCGCGCATTCCAGCAAACTTCCCGGTGACGAATGGAATCGAGGTGCAACGAAATGCAATTGGACCAGAGGCTACGTCTGCCCGGTAGAAAACGCAAGCCACTGAGCTTCGTATTGGGTTTCGTTTTCGGCGGCGGCGACCAAGCGATTCCACTCGGAATCGGTGCAGAAGCACTCTTCGCTCGCCCTACACCGCCTGTTTTGTTCCGAAGGGCCTATCGTGACGTGATAGAACCGACCCCGGTTTCGTAGACGTGACGTCATAGAGAACCGGTAGAACCGTGTCTTGCGCGCTCGTTGCCGCGAAGCCACGGCCGCCCCCAGCGCGAGGCGCACGCGGGTAGGGCGCTCGCAACGCAGGGCTACTGGTAGGCGCAACTCTCGCGGCGAGGCGAGGTCTAGGAGTCACGAAATCACACTCCAAGCGCTGAGAGCGAAGAACCTTATTTATGAATTTATATATGTTTCTATCAAATGAGTAGTCTTTCTGTGCGTGTTTTTATAATTTCTAAATTGTGTATCGCTGTACCTCCAGTAGCGCCTTGATGTTTTCTTTCTCTTGTGCCCTTCCATGTACAGTACGTGATCGCAAAGCGGAACAAGCCCGCGCGAGCGCACCCCACGACACGGATCAAATGGTATCACGATGGTGTGTATGCAGGCATGTAGGCGTACCTCGGCCGGCCACCCGCAAGATATGAATTGCGGTGGATTGGGATCATACACTCTCTGTTCTTCGGAACACAACCGTAACTGCCTAGATACGAGTGAAGGGCTTTCATTTGTGCTCACGCCTCTCGACGTCAGCGACCCTGTCCTGAGGCGCGTAAAGTTGTCAGCCAAGATTGTCAGCCTTTTCGCACCTTGGCATGCCGAGCGCAAGAAGTCAGGACGGCAGCCCACAATTTTGTATAGTCTAATCTAAGTTCGTTGCATTCAACAAATATGGGACTACCGTAATCATGCGTGTGATGGCACCCGTCGTTGATTTCGCACTTATCGGTGTTATGGCACCGGAGTGCGCAAAACTATCAAGAACGGTGTAATTTAGTTGTATTTCCGCACCCGTATCGGTTTTGTCGCACCCGGTGCGATAGCAACGATACATTATCTGCCAAGGACGCAAGACTTCGCAACGGAAAACAGGCTAGCTCTCACGAACACGTTCTTTGAGACACGCAAGGGCGGAATATGGCACACATACAACGGTGTGTCGGGAAACGATTACAAGCGCCTTGACTATATCCTGACAAGCCAGGCACATCACGGCCGAGTATCTAGCGTGGTCGTCATCCCCCAGCCGGTTCGCCCAGTCANCGATTGCAAGCGCCTTGACTACATCCTGACAAGTCAGGCACATCACGGCCGAGTATCTAGCGTGGTCGTCATCCCCCAGCCGGTTCGCCCAGTCAAAGCAGACTCAGACCACAATATGGTAGTAGCCACCGTCAACCTCGGTGGCACGCTTGCCCACAACCGTGCAGTCCGGACTAAACCGAAACAGAAGCAATTAAACCGACGGGAATTGCAGTTCGAAGCAGCACGGTGTGCGGCGACTAATCGGTTCCTCCTCAGCCTCGACACACGACGGGACGAGCGAACAACCACCGCCGCGGAATTGGAGACCGACTCTACCAATGCTCTCCTCGACGCAGCGCGGACGACCCTGGGGGAGGAGCCGCGGAGACGCCGCACGCAGGAGTGGTGTGAGACTCCAGAGACGCGAGCAGCGCTGGAGCAGGCCCTTGCCAAACGTCGGGAAGCGCGCCGGGCGATGAGGGGCAACTGGAACTCAGCGACATGGAGGGTTCTCAAAGCAGCGTGTAAGGGAGTGGCTACAGCAGTCGAAACGGGCACTTATGCCCACCTGGACAGATATGTGACTGAGCTCGAAGAAATCTACAAAGATCGCGACATGCGAGGACTGTACCAACACCTCAAGAGATCAGTGGGCCTCAGCGGGAGACAAGCGGGGGGACAGCAGTTCGTCGCGGATGAGAACGGCGTGTTGCTCCGGAACAGGGACGACATCCTCCAGCGGTGGGCGAGATTCTTCAGCACCCTACTCAACACCAAATCCTCACCCTGAACCCAGACATAATCAAACGAGTGACGCAGCGGCCAGCGACACGTGACCCTCAACGGTTGGGAGATGTGCCAGAACTCGAGGAGGTGGCACGGGCAACGAAAGGCCTCAAGAACTGGAAGGCACCCGGCCATGACTCCCTCCCTGCCGAGTTGCTCAAGATCGATGACGACGAACCCTTCGTCCTGGGACACCTCCATACCATCCTCGTCAAGGTGTGGAACGGAGGAGATATTCCGCGAGAGTGGAAGGATGGAACCATCAAGGTGCTGTACAAGAACGGTGACCGGTCCAACTGTAACAACTACACGGGGGATTTCGCTACTATCTCACGTAGGCAAGGTCCCCATCAAGATCATCACCAACCGTCTAAGCGCCTTCTGCGAAGTCAACAACATCCTCCCGAAGGAACAGTGCGGATTTCTACCCGGGCGATCCACCGTCGATATGCTGTTCGTCGTGCGCTGCCTCCAGGAGCTGGGGCGGAGAAAGAAAACAACGCTCTATATGCGCTTCGTCGACTTGAAGAAGGCGTATGATTCGGTGGACCGAGAGATGCTATGGAAGGTGCTGGCCAGGG